TTCAAATAATGGAAAGCTCCAGGCCTGACCATCTTTAATTTGACCGATTTCTTTTTAAAGTGGGGAATATTGATTGGATTTACCATGTGTAAAACCTGGGGTCATAGGTAACATGAGTATTCAAATTAAAAATTCTTAAAGAGGGTGGGGTCATTTTTGAATTTTTTTTTTTTTCCGCGCCAATCTGTGGGGCAATGCTTGAAGCACCTGAACTTAAGAAAAAATGCAGCTAGAGTCCGGACATTTTGCAGGTTCATTGACAAGTACATATGGTCTTCATTGGTACAACCTAGAGATTGCTCATAGTTCCACTTTTCATAAAATTATTTAAAGCACTATGAGTTGGAAAACGATGATTTTTCTTTTAGCCCAGTAACAATATTATAATCCTCTTTCAGTTGGGACCACTACTGGAGTGGTTTCACCTATGGTGCCTGTTCAATGCATGTTCAAATATTAGCAATAGATGCAAAGAAAATAATTTCAATAAATATTTTTCTCATAATCTATTCGTTTGACTGGCATCAAACTCTAAATTGTTAAAGTTCATATTGGTGCCAAAACCAAACTGCCTCTTAAGGTGAAAAATAAAGCTCTTATGGTTGGTAGAATAGGAAAAGAAAAAGAGAAAAATGATGTTTTTGACCAAATTTGCACCATTATGTAACGGCTTTGTATAATTCCATCAAAGCAGGGTTCTACCACTGAAGACCACATGTACTTATTGCGAGCCTCTAAAATTTCAGGGCTCCAGCTACATGCTACTGTTTATCAGGTTATGGCACTTCAAACATTGATACACAGATTGGCACAAAGAAAACAATACAAAAACGGATCTCACCTTCTTCAAAAAATGTTAACCTCAAAAACTCATGATACCTGAGACCTCAAATTTTACACATTTTACTCAAAAACATATGTATGCACAGAAAAAAAAATATCAGACAGATATAAGATTGTCAGTATGTTTTTTTTAAAATTTGGTAAACTGAATTGGAATGAGGGCTGCAAGGTGGTCCCGACCAGGTCAGCTCCACAACATCAGTTACCATGGAGATCTAGCCAGGTAAAAAGAGAGCACCTTCCTGACACTGAAAACTCTGGCTTTAAGCTCAACACACCTGATAACACACTAATCTCGCTTTGTAGTACAGCCCTCTGCTAAATGCTGACTTTTTGAAATCCCAAACTCTGAGCAGAACCTCCTCCAAAGCAGTTTAGGTATTGGTCTAGCAGGTGAAAGTTAGCAACCTTGAAGACATTTACTTTAAAAATTCTGACTTTCAATTTAACACTGCTAACCCAGTAATAAACCAGTAGTACTAGGGAAACATTACGTTTAGAAAAACAGCATTTTTTATTTTTATTTTTATTTTATTTTGACCTGCATATACACATTAGAGGGACAAACTGGGGTTTAGTTTATCAAACCACCTTATATAAACATAAGGCTAGCTAGCTAGCTTAAAAAGTTAGCAGCTAGTAAAGCTTCCCTGCACAGAGAAACTGATACAGCACAGACTGTAGCAAACAGGTTGGTCAAGCTTCACCAAGACAGATGTCTGTAAAATATTATGGACATTTATGGTCAGTTTTGGTAATAATTTTTCAATTTTTAATAAATAATTTGGACTTACCTGGCGGCTTGTTCTTAAACTGGGAGTGGCGTCCATAGATATATATATATAATAAAGGCCTGTATTTTATATATCTATGGTGGCGTCCATCAGGTGCCATTTTGGTTGTTCCCACCTGTCAACTATCAAAGTACCCGGATGCTCGGGGAGCACAAATCCTATCAAACATATCAGGTGTCTTTATATCGTTGATAGTCTTCACTCTGCTTTATAAGTTATTAAAATATGTATTCAGGCAGATTCTGTCACTTTGATAAGTTAAACTTCATCTACTGAAGCTAATTGACGTTAATTCTACTTTTTATTCGGCTGTTGTTTATTTACTGCTTTGCTGCCGAAGATCGTTTATGCAGAGGAAGGAGCCTCACTCTGTCTGACATCACATCACTAGTTCAATAACAGATCTCCAAAGATCTGCCTCATTTCAGCACAATTTCACTGTCAAGCTTTTATACATTGGTGAATGAAAGTAGCAATGGCCTACTACAGTGTAGAAATACTGTATTACAAGTAAAATTCACTGCTCTCAGAATTACATTGAGTAAAATTAAGAATTACCATTTAAAAAATAAAAGTATGAAAAGAAAAACTGCTCATGATGCAGAATGATCCACTACTCCTACAAAGTAATGTGGGTTATAGAGACTTTCTCTTCGTGTTTCTCTCAGATTGTTCACAAAGTCAGAACAGACTTTTCCCACATTTCAGACCCAGCAATGGTTTCATTCAGACTGTCCTTAAATGTAAAAATCTTTACTCCAGAAATGCCTGAACATGCATCTGCTACAGCCTTGTATGCTGCTGTGCTAATGATGCTAAATGACTGGTTTCTCTTTGCACTGCCTTGGTCAGACCACAGTGGGGAGACAGACACCTTCCATGTGAGCGCTGCTCACTTATTCATGCTGAGGTGCTACGGCGCTAACGTTCACACTGAGGTGATCTGGAGCAGAGGAGGCAACACCAGTCTGCCCGGTGGAGTGGAGGTCAGGAACAGGTCACTGTGGTTTCTACCTGTGCAGACATCCCATAATGGAACCTACACCTGTGAGAAAAGGTATAAAAACCACCATTACAATCTTATTAATCTGAAGAACAGCAGCACCTCACTACTGTTCAACAGCACAACAAACAACACAGTTAATAACCATTTTCACATAGCTGAATAAACCTTTTAAACATTGTTAAGTTATGTAAACCTAATTTGAATATTATAAAAATCACAGACACTAGATTTATTACAGGTCTGATGTATTGGACTGCATCAGTTTAAAATGCATTTTAGCAACAACAAATCCTTGAGAACTTTGAGGAGACTGTTTATAGGGAAAGGACAGGAGGCAATGGGGCTGCTGGGAAATGTAGTGTTTAAGACAAAACCGTTGAAATGAGATGCACGCCCAGTTCAAACACTGATTATTTGCAGAAAGAAAATCAAGAACTGACTTCTGTTTGCTCACTTTCAAATAAATATAACATTCTTTCAGTAAAATTATTAAACTGGTAAGATCCAGCTACAGTTCAGTTTTATTTCATTCCCTGCCATGTGTCTTATTTTTGACTTGGAACCTAAATAAATTCACTTTAAGACAGCTTTTCTCTCAATAATTTCCTTGCGCACTGACTGAATAATTAAGGTTTAAAGAACAATGAAATGATGAAAACTTCTATTAAGATCCTCAGATTATTACCTCAGTCATTTAAAATAAGCAAGACCCATGCTGAACAAGGCCTCATGTGAAGAGCTTATTTGCAAAAACAGATAACTCCATCTTCACAAATCTTCAGAAAACCCTCTTTTCCATCGTCTACCTGAGACAACATCAATCAAACTTAAGTTATCTCTACTTTTGTCATGTCATTTCTACTGAGTCAAATCCGCTCAACTTCAGTTTGATTGATATTATCTCAAGTAAACAGCAAAAAAATAAGTTTTCTGATAATCTACAAAAATTGAGTTATCTGTTGTTGCAAATGAACTCTTCATATGTTTCTGCAGCTCAGGTTTTTATGCAGTTTTCTCAGTGCTTATCTCCTTCTCTTCAGGGATGAGGCCAGATCAGTGAGGATGGACAATGAGGTCTTGGTCTCCAGTGAAGAGTGTTATTGTCAGGTTATTCCAAAATGGAGTCGGTGGAATTCTTCCTTGGAAACAGACAGAAATCTTCAGGCTCAGCAACAACAAGAAACGTACGATGGATGAAGGTATAAACAGATCCATGACACTCACATGTTGCGTTTACTGCATTTGTGTGCCTTGATACATGTCTTCTTGCCTTATTTGATTACAAAGGCAGTTGTCATCACAGACACATTCAATGAGCAATATGCTAGCTTTGGAATCAGCTATCTAATCTGGTTAAACCCTGATGGAAAATAATGTCACAAGATGACTGGAAAGAGACTTTTGGTGATAGCATACCGAATAGCATGAGTAGCCTTTGCATAATCGCAGCTTGTTTTTCTATGTCATTTTCAGGAGTGGGCTGCAAGGTGGCGCAGTTGGTTTGCACTGTTGCCTCACAGCAAGAAGGTCGCCGGTGGGGGCACTGGGATCTTTCTGCGTGGAGTTTGCATGTTCTCCCCGTGCAATGTGGGTTCTCCGGCTTCCTCCCACAAGTCCATGTTTAGGTTAATTGATGATTCTAAATTGTCCGTAGGTGTGAATGTGAGTGTATGACCTTCATGATTCTTCATGCAGATGCAGTATTTTTCCATTACACAGGGTGCCTTCGCCCTAAGTCGGCTGGGATAGGCTCCAGCCCCCCTGAGAGCCAAGTGAGGATTAAGCAGTGTATAGATAATGGATGGATGGATTTTCAGGAGTGCACATTTATTCCTTATTTGTGGGTAAAAAACTGTTTTTGTTTTGTGATTTTTGTATTATGACTTGTACTTTCTGGCTTGATAAAAACAACGCTGCTTTCCTCTTGTACATATTAGAGACACGTTTGTGTGCTGACATTTAAGTGAAACTTAGATTTCAATTTGCTGATTTCTATAGTTCTGCTGTAGCTACTGTAAACATCTGATTCAAACATTATAGTCTAACCCTTCTCATGGAGATACATTGAGCTCCTCAGCTGATTAAAACAGATAACACAAAATGCAGTCAAAACCAGGCAACAGTAACACCAAAGTAATGATACGTTTTACTACAACAATAACTAGTTACAGTGATAAAAGAGTTTTTCAGCTGACATTGACAATGTTCTCAAAACACCAGTATGTGTAGAATGTGTTTTTCTTTCTTTTTAAAAAAAAATCCTACTGCAGGTATGAGAGCAGAGCTGAAGTGTGAGGCCTACACAGGCTTCACTGAGGACAATGAAACTTCAATGTACTGGACTGTGGATGGGTCTTTCACTGAAGAACATGACGGGCCCAGTGAGTCCTGGGGATTGTGAGTTTCTGCTTCCTGTCATGTTATTTCTGAGACTAAACCTCCAAAGTTGCTCAACAGTAAAACAGTAAAGAGCACAGCGCTGGACTGAATGCACCAGGTGTACGATGAGTCTCACAATCAGCATTCTAGTCTGAGTAATAGAAATAAACAGCAGGCTACTAACAGAACAAATGATTTGTGTACAGATGGCAGTGTAACTCAAAGTAAATGGACTGTAAAAACACATCTTCTGCCTTCTAGCTGCTGAATAAGGCTGGATTGAGGAACTGACTGACCGATTCCTGGTCCTGTCTCTTTCAGTTTTACTGACAGGGGAAAGGTGTATGCTCGGTCCACTCTGTCCATCTCTAACGTCCTTCATCAGTTCCTGAATGTCCCCATTAAATGCATTACAATGAACCCAGGTGGAGAAGATGTCGGCGTGGTGTGGCTTCAAGAAGGTATTATCCACGTTTTGTTCGATATGCACAAGTTTACAAATATTCCTGTTCCCCAGAACGATTTCTACAGGATGAATCATGCCAGAAGGCCTTCTTTGTTTTTTCTAGTTTTGTTAGTGTGTGTTTATATGTGTTCTGGCTTTGTCTCCAGCGGACCACAGCGCCCTCTACATGAGTGTGGCTGCCTCCCTGGCTACTCTGGTCCTGGCTGCCTCCTTTTTCTTCTTTAAAGTCGACCTGGTTTTGGCTTACAGGAAACTTTTGAGACATTTTCTTAAACAACAAGATAAGATATCCTCATCAGACGTTGTGCTTTTCTGTGGAATCATAATTCTGGGAACCATGTTGTATAATTTATTACATAACCACACCCATTAGCAAGAATAAGCAATTGAAAAGACGTCAGCACCATAGAATGATCATAAACCTTCTGTCTTTTTATCTTGGGCGGCCGAAAATGTAGCAGGCGGATCTACTGTATTTTTCAGACGATAAGGCGCACTGGATTATAAAGCGCACTGTCAATTAAGCATGTCTATGTACACACATAAGGCGCACCGGATTGTAAGATGCATTAAGAAAAACAACACAGTCCAGTAAATCAAACTTTATTTAACTCAGTTGTAACAACAAGCACCGTTACAGAAAAATATAATATTCATTCCTCTTCCACAAACCCATCAAATTCTTCATCTTCAGTCTCTGAATTAAACAGCTGTGCGATGTCAGCATCAAACTTGGCCGGATCCCTCTCTTCATCATCCGAGTCAGTCTCGTTACCGGTACTTGGCTGTTCGGTGATGATTCCAGCTTTACAAATGTATTGTAATATAATGTTGAAGCACCGACACCATATAAAAAGTGGCGGGGTTAAGCGTAAGCGTTAAGCTAAATGAGGATGTTCTGCTTTTATCTCTCTTATGGTTTCATCCAATTCCTCATCAGAAATGGTACAGAATTTTGCGCGCCTTATGTTGTATTCCCGCATCAGCTTGTATAATGTGGGTCTGGAGATCCGCAGGACTGAAGCCACTTCAGAAAGCGTTGTTCCTAGCAGCAGCAAACCCTCAATGTGTCCTCTTTGGATATTAAAGTATGGCCATCGTACAAAACAGGAAAAAACAGACATCCTGAATTGAACTGAACTAATCAACCTGTTCTCATTTCCAACTTATGTCCGATGTTGACTGCACTGTCAAATCCCTTGCCGTCACTATACACAGGGCTGGGTAGTAAATAACTAGATGTAATTGGGATTACATAATCACATTACAAAAAATAAGTACCTATAATCAGCCCAGATTGCATTTTAAAAATGTGTTATTTGATTATAGTTACATTGTCAAGAATTACTTGTTACATTCTTGATTTCTCCATTATTGGACTATTATTATCTTAGAAAGTCATCATTTGCATATTTGGTTTTGAGGTAATACAAAAGTAAAGCAATGAAGTTACATTACTTTAATACTGTGATTCCTAGATTAGGTTACTGACTACATTTTTTAACAGGCAATTAGCAATTGTATCGGAATACATTTTTAACCCTCCCAACTCTGACTATTTATTACATTACAGACCCATTAAGAGCCAACATGGGACAAGCTGAGAATGACAAGGGAGGTCTAACAGGCAATTATAGTTTAGTCCCACAACTAACCCATAACATGATGTATATAATGGAAGGAGATACATCAAGACGAACTACAGCAAAACAATAACTCTAGCTGTAAATATGAAAAACTGGATGGGTTTTCTTTAGTGAGCTGACGTTGCTCAGTTAACTTAAGGTAACAAAACACTGTAATGCTACATCACAACTTCACTTACTGATCTCAGTGATGTGACAGTGGTAGCAAAGGTGGCAGTGCCTGAGGACACAGCTGGAGGTGCCTGTGGGTTAACCTGTGGTGTGGAGACCTCAAACAAGAGGAAACATTTTAACCTGTTAAAAATCCATATTTAAGTGATAAATGACCATTGAGTGAGGAGGACACTACAATCAACTGAGAAACATACTAACAGGACACATCGTTGGAAAGCTTAGATTCTTGTGATTTCATTGATGCAAACGAAATGAAACGTCTGAGTCGACTGCAGCCGATTCTTAGGGATGACTGACACATTGTATAGCCAGTGAAGATACGATTACATGGTAGATTCAAGACCCGGAGAAAAAAAACGTAAATAGGGGTTTTCCACAGGGCTTGAAATAATTGAATGGCCTAAACTTGATACATTTGACATAAATGTGAGTATTAATGTGTACAAAATATGACGATAGATGTTCTACATACATATATGGGCTACATATAACATCAACTGTCATCTACATAAGTAGTTGGCCTTATTTTGAAAATGCCAAGACATACTCTTACAAAAACGTGTAAAATATTCATTTTCTGTAGTATATTGATCAAATGCGTTGAAATTGTGTTGAAACAGCTAATAAATCCGAGATATTAGTCCCTTACAGGCATCTGTTTGCAGCTCGGTTAGCTAGCAGTTGCTTTCCCACGAACACAGTGAAAAGTTAAAGTTTTAACTAAGCAACTTATCGTTAACGGTGTGGACGGTACCGGCGGAAGTGCACCTTGGAGTGCAGCACACACACCTGCCATAACCGTCCGTTCAATCTCTCCTAATTGGAGAGAACCGGCCATGTTTTGGTCCTTCCCTTCACTTCACCTCCACATCCACAGCACGTGCGATCAGATGTGTGGACGGGTCTGTGCGCGCTGAGAGGGGTGGCTATTTGCATATTATCTAAATATTTATCTTTTTACTTGGCCACACATTTACATTTAACATTTAGATTTAGATTTAGCATTTAGATTTAGATTTAACATTTAGATTTAGATTTAGGCTGCAGGGTGGTGCAGTTGGTAGCACTGTTGCCTTGCAGCAAGAAGGTTGCTGGTTCGTGTCCCGGTGGGGGCACCGGAATCTTTCTGGTGGAGTTTGCATGTTCTCCCCGTGCAGCGTGGGTTCTCTCCGGGTTCTCCGGCTTCCTCCCACACAGTCCAAAAACATGTTGAAGTTGATTGGTGATTCTAAATTGTCCGTAGGTGTGAATGTGAGTGTGCTTGGTTGTCTGTCTCTAAGTGTAGCCCTGTGATAGACTGGTGACCTGTCCAGGGTGTCCCCTGCCTTCACCCTCAGTCAGCTGGGATAGACTCCAGCCCCCCATGACCATGAGTGAGGATTAAGCGGTGTATAGATAATGAATGGATTTAGATTTAGCATTTAGATTTAGATTTCGCATTTAGATTCACCATTTAATTTCCACCTCAAATGTGAAGAAAATGAGCTAAATATTCAAAATATATCAGCTAGAAAAGTGTGACTGAATTTTTACATTCGGCACCCCATATTTTCCTTGGAACACACAAACTCACTGAATTACACTCAAACAGAAAGTTCTGGAAGAACCTCAGATACCACATGCCCCCAGTGCCAGCAAGAAGACTCCAGACTGTTGTCTAAACCAAGTGAAAAACGTTCATTTATCCTAACGTTCTACAGATGGGAAGAATCAGAGATGTTCTGTTTACATGAGGACATTCAGGCCTGTTTCCTGGAACTCTTTAATTCTACAGTCATCATCCATCAGTCATCATCACCTTCATTCAGTAACACGAGGATCGTTGTAAACTAACTGGACTGACTGCCTGCACAGGGAGTTTCATGTTTACAACAAGGATGGAAAAACTTCTACTGGATTTCTTATTGGAATAAAACAGGAATGATACAGCTGTTGAACAGACTTTTCCTTGGTTCTTACTTTTAAGAACTACAGGTTTAACACCAGAGACGCCACTATTATTCTAATGTTGCATCAATCACCAGAGATGCCTTTAAGTCTTGAGAATCACAAGCTACTGTATGTGTTTAATATATGTTCAAGTATTTGAAGGGATATTTATTTTTTTATTGACAAGTTTGCTGTAGATTTAACAACATAGTGCTAAATATTTCTGTTTCTTACCTGGAATCTGATAGAAGCCTGTATTTACATTGTCTTTGATGTACTGTGATATTCTGTGAATATCATCTTTAACACATGTGACCTGAGTCTTTGTGAAACACATTGATGTTGTAGATGATGCATAACAAAACATACAGATTCCAATGATTTGTAATTTCATTTCCAGTATAACGTATTACTTCTGAGTCATTATGAAATAATACTACAAAGACTAAAGAACTGAAATTACCACTCACACAGCAGGTTAGTTTTAGAGAGTCATTTGCTGTAATAACTGACACACACTTTTCACAATAATACACATTATCTTAAGTTTCTGGAGAAGATGTGTTTCATTGTTCCATTTATTGTTCTTACAACAATAGAATCCAGGAATGTCTGACTTTGAATTGCCCCTGGCTGACAGACTGACTGGCCCTGTGGAGTTCGTTCTCTGTGCTCTCGTATGACTGAACTGGGTTTATACAACCTGCCAAGCTGCCCTCTGATGGGAAAGTACGCCTAAAGACTGACATAATCAGCATGTTGTGGTATTTTCCAGACCAGAGGGCAGCGTTTTATAGAGATGTAAATCCTGATGTTTGAAGTTGTTTTATTTGAGTACTTCTCACAGTGGAAACAGACTCTTGAAGGACTGTGAGAATACATGCAAGGGGATTTCCAGCTTCCATAGTCATTTGTAAAGGTGTTAAAGTTCATCAAGGCTCATGCTATACTGAGTGTGTCTGTCAGGGTGACACCAAATACCTTTTGCAGTTTTCTATTCTTGCAAAGTGTTAAATGGACTTTCTAAGCTGTGTTTTGTTCTAAAAACTCTTAATTGTATCCTGTCAGGGCTTCAAATTAAACGATGAGAAAAGACTCAGCAAGACAGACTACACTTTAAAGAACTCAGCTAAAAAAAAAAACCCATGTCAGACTATAAAGTTAGTTATTGTTGAGTTGTATGTACTAAATGTATTGGTAGCAAAAGTTTTACTGGTTTGGGAACTTTTATTCACCGTCTGGCTACGACAGCTGTTGATCACAGTGAAGAAACATTTAATCACCACACTCCAGCCAAGAGATATTAGCAGCCGACATTTCCTGCCAACAGTGTCTCATCACAAAGCGGAAAATAACAGTGCTGCTTTCCTTCACTCTCTAGCATGTGGGTTAGGCTCAACCTTAAAGGGAAAGTGATCACAGGTCATCAAGGGTTTCAGAAAATGTTACAGCAGTAGTTTGGCTGCTGGTTTAACTCTTAAAAATTCATTTCTGTGTATCAGAGTTACCCTCATGAAATAAACCCT